AAAAACAAAATATGGTCCATTCTCTCCCATCCTTGGCAAAACTTACTGTGCCATTCTGCGCTATACTTCCCAACCTCAGTCTTTGAGTCTTCCCATTTTACTTGTTAGCTGTGGGATGAGGACAAAAGTAAGACTGTGCCGATGCCAAGCACAGGCTTTCAGAAGCCTATGTGTTTCTATATAGTTCCACACTCCTCTTTTATGTCACTTCCCTTCACCATAAGCATCTCCCACTAGCCACTGCCCTTTCACCTGAGTCTTATAGTTAAGAAACAAGCAGAGTAAACCTGAACTTGATGCACTGTCTGGAACAGAGTCTCAACCTAAAGATCTATGTGGGGGAGCAGGGGAGAGTTTTTTGTACCCTGAAATTTGAGACTGTCCGCTACAGAGCATTGTTGTTGTTGTTGTTGTTGTTGTTGTTGTTGTTGTTGTTGTTGTTGTTGTTAAGTACCATTGAGTCATAGGTGACTCATAGCAACCCTATGAAGGAAACTCCTCAATACTTGTGTGACTTTCATCCTTTCTTCAAGTCCATAGGGTTTCTGGAGGCAAGCTATTACGGAAGTGGATGCCACTCCTGCTTCCAAGCTTGTCTGAATCAGGGAGCTCCACCAAACACTGCCTGCCATGGGTAACCATTAACACATTTGACACCTCAGTGTCACAGTGTTCAGCTTCACAGCAACCACAAGTTACCTCTGTACGGCAAGTGGACACATCAGGGCTATACTGTTTGAACAAAAACAATAAAAAACAGGCCTGAGGGCCGCGGATGAAAAGTCACCCACCTATTTTGCACACATTATATTGTTGTTATTGTTAAGTGCCATCAAGTCGAGTATGACTTATAGTGACCCTATGAACAACAGATCTGAACCCTGTCTTCCTGTGCCATCCTCAGTCTCTGACACACTTGAGCCCTGTGGCAGTCACTGTGTCAATCCACCTTCTTCAAGGGTCTTCCTCTTTTTTGTCATCCTTCCACCATTCCAAACATGAAGTACCTCTCCAAGGAATAACCTCTCCTAGCAAAATGCCCAAATTATGAGAGATGAGACTTCACCATCCTTGCCTCCAAAGAGCACTCTGGCTGCACTTTCCCCAATACATATCTGTTTGCTCTTTTGGCTGCCCCTGGGATATTCATTCCTCTTCTCCAATACTACAACTCAAAGGTTTCAATTTTTCTGTCACCCTTTTTCATTGTCCATCTCTCAGATGCATGGGAAGTGATTGAAAATACCATGGTCTGAATCAGGCACAACTTAGCACATATTATAAGCAATCATTAATTATCCCCATAACTGTATGAAGTTGGTTGTTGTTGTTGTTATTGTTAGGTGTCATGGAGTCGAGTACAACTCATAGCAATCCTATGAACAAAAGATCTAAACCTAGTCCTATTCTGTGCCATCCTTACACTTCCTGACACATTGCAGTAGTCACCGTATCAATCGACCTGGCTGAGGGTCTTCCTCTCCTTGGTCAACCCTCCAGCCTTCCCAACATCATGTCACTCTCCAAGGAATAGCATCTCCTAGCACTATGTCCAAAGTATGTGAGGTGAAGTATGTAGGGTAAACTATTTGGACATTTCTGTATTGTGTTAACAATCAAGTGTAAGTATGAAGTTGGTAGAAGTATAAATGTCTTCCAACTCTTCCTACCCACAACAAAATTTTGTAACCTATTATGGGTGCTCTTGTGACTAATTTTATTTGTACTGTTTCTTTTCCCACTTTCTACCCCAAACCTAGTCAGCTCCTACCCAACCAACAAGATCAACTATATTCATTATCTCCTATCTGGAGCCTTGTGTAAGTATTACCTTTTCAACATTAGATATTACTTATTATGCTGCACTATAATCACTTTACTTCTTATCTGTGTTTCTAACTGAATCTGTGTTTTTGAGCTCCATTCCTTCTCCACTGTAATAAACACCAATACAGTGTCCATACTAGAGCAACCATTCAATATTTCTGAATGAAACAGTCTCTCCAGACCCCAAGAAATCTCAATGGAAATTATCTCAATCTGATTTTCATTTCCATCTCCTTCCTTCTACAAAGGCAAAAGTCCTTTAAAATGTTTTCTCTAAAACTTATATGGACAATTTAAATGTTATCTATATCGATTTACCATGGGACAGATTTAAATACTCTTGCTGAAATATTTCACTAGATAGGAATTTTTTTTTTTTTTACAACTTTAACCTTGTGATGCTTTCTCAATTTCAAGGAAAGGTATCCAGTTTCAAAGGTGCCACGGGGATAAACATTTTCTAGTATGGTAGAGGAAAAAAAGGACCCATTATTTGCATATCCATTTCTGTTCTTCCTTAATAATGAAATCTCAGTGGTGAGAAGTTGCGCTGCCAACCCTAAGTCACACTGCTGCTCCGCGGAAGAAAGACACAATCTTCTCCAGTAACTGAAAACAGCTGGAGGGTCGGCTATGAGTCACTTCCCACTCCATGGAACATAAAAACAACGACAGTGTTAGTATTCAAGGTGGTGGTGTGCTTGTTTAGAAAAAGTTAACAAGTCCTGGTCTTCCTGTGTAAATAAATGTGACTAAATTCTAACCAATGAAATGCAGATAGAATCTTTGAGGTATGCTTTATAAGTCCTTAAAAAGGCGACAAGCAAGTGAAGGCCTGCATTGTCCTACACACTCTGCCTCCCACTTATTATCTGATACTCAAGCATGACTGAGTTACAACCAACTCTGTGCAGCCATTTACTAAAGTCCAGAGGTTTCCAAAACAGTACCTCCCAAATCCGAGGAGGATTTCATTAACAATGCTGATTCCAGGACCTCACCCCAGGGACGAAAAAGTCCCCAGATCTCTATTGAAAGCCAGCTCCCCAAGTGACAATTCTAAGCAAGTCCTGAGAGGTATTGATTGCAAAGACATACAAAGTGAAGGGCCTGTTCTTAAAGTGAAGTAAAAGGTATCTGACGTGGAATTTTTCCCCCCTAATTTGCGTCCCAAAATCTTGATCCAGGCTCTCGATTAACAAGAGTAGCAGCTGTTAAAGTGATCCCACCCTCCACAAGCGACCCGAGGGTGCCTAGTCCAGTCAGTCCTGGGCGAGGGAAGAGGAATCACAGAAGGCAGAGCAGAGACCAGGGGCCCGGGCGTTCACGCAGCCTACCTGGTATACAGCGGAGCCCGAGTCCTGCTGGGTCCCCAGCGTGGCCACCGCGTCCCCGTGATATGCGCGGAGCCCGGGGACGGCGGCACGGGTCGACGGCCGCAGAGCTAATCTCAGGGCGACCCACATTGCGGAGGGTACAAAAGGCGAGAGGAGAACTAGAGAGCAGCCAAGGATAGTCTGGAGTCAGATCTTCCGCTTCAGACCTGCTAAGCAATGTTGTTTGCACAGGCCAAGAGCCAGTAACCACCTCTGAGGTTTTTTCCCCAACCAGCCCTGACTGCTCGCGATTGGTTAGCGCAACGAGCCACGCCTCCAACCCCAGCCAATAAAGAAAGAGGTTCAGGCCCGCGAGGTCCCGTCCCATCGCGAGCATGGGGGCCGGTCCCGACCCGAGCGCCTTGTCCCAGGGAGGGGCAGACTCCTCCCAGGCTTTAGCTGTGCAAGGTTGAGGTTTAATGCAATAATAGATGTATCTCCATTAGTTTTCCGATGTCTTCATTCTGGCCTAATAATAAGGATATTCTCCTGATTATATGTGAAAGCTTATCGTGTGAGGATTGAGCAGGCATTAATCTCTAAAAAATTAACATTGTAGAAATGATATGCTTATTCAAATTGCATATTCATTCATTCAAGTAATTTTTTTTCAAAATCTAATATGTGTCTAACTCTGTGAAGAATGGGAATTCCAGAACACTTGATCGTGCTTATGCGAAACTCATACTTGGACCAGGAGGCAGTTGTCAGAATAGAGCAAGGCAACACTGCATGATTCAAAATTGGGAAGGGTGTAAGCCAGGAATGTGTCCTGTCTCCATACCTTTCCAATCTATATGCAGAAAAGATTATCCAAAATGCTAGGCTCTATGAGGAGAAATGTGGCATCAGGACTGGAGGAAGACGACTCAACAATCTGACTTAAGAATATTACACAACCTTGCTGAAACTGAAGAGGACCTGAAGTATTTGCTGAAGAAGGTTAAGGACTGCAGCCTTCAATATGGATTGAAGTTCAAGATCAAGAAAACAAAGATTCTCACCACTGGGATGATTGGCAGCATCGTGATGGATGGTGAAGAAATTGAGATTGTTAACAACTTTAGTTTGCTTGGCTCCACAATCAACACTCTTGATACCAGCAGCCAGAAAATTAAAAGACGTAGTGTGTTGGAAAAGTCTGCTGTCGGAGAACTCTCCAGAGTACTGAAGAGTAATGATGTCAGTCTGGAGACTAAGGTGCACCTGATCCAAGACATGATCTTTGCAAACACTTGCTATGTATCAGAGAGCTGGACAATGACTAGGGATAATAGAAGAATTGATGCCTTTGAGCTGTGGTGTTGGAGAAGACTATTGACTATACCATGTACTGCTAAGAGAACGAACAAGTTCATCCTCAAGAGGGTGAAACCAGGCTGCTCCTTGGAAGCAAGGATTCTGAAGCCTTGTCTGACATACTCTGGACATGTTCCAAGGAGGGATCAGCCCTTGGAGAAAGACATACATCATCATGCTTGGGAGGATGGAGGGGCAGCACAGGAGAGGAAGACCCTCGATGAGATGGATTGACTCAGTGACTGAGGTAATGGGGGTAGGTGTGCCAGAGACAAGGAGATTGGCACAGGATAGAGCAGGATTTAGGGCTGTTGTACATAGGGTTGCAATGAGTCTCAGGTGATGCGACAGCACAAACAACAATATGTGTCATGCCATCAAGTTGGAACCAACTCATAGCTGACCCTCCAGCAGATTTTCAGAAGCAGTAAGTTTCACATGAGATTGCCTCTCCTCTTGTGGAGCAGCTGAAGGACACCCTGTGCCTTTAAGATTGCAGTGCAGAATGAGAGTCCCAGAACACTTTATCAGGTGAAACTTATGTCTAGACCAAGAAGCTGTTGTGTGAACAGAGCAAGGGAACACTACATGGTTTAAAATTTGGAAAGGTAAGCAATCAGGCTTGTGTCCTTTCTCCATACTCATTTAATCTATATGCTTATCAAGAAGCTCAAGAAGCTGTACTCTATGAAGAAGAATGTGGCATCAGTATTGGAGGAAGATTCATCAGTAGCCTTCATAACGCAAATAACACAACTTAGCTGAAACTAAGGAGGAATTGAATCACTTGCTACAGAAAGTTAACCACTGCAGACTTCAGTAAGGATTACATCTCAACATCAAGAAAACAATAATCCTCACCACTGGACTGATAGGCAACATCAAGATAAGGAAAAGATTGAAACTGTCAACAACTTCATCTTACTTGGATATACAGTCAATACACTTGGTACCTGCAGTCAGGAGATCAGGAGACGTTATTTCCCTGGGAAAGGTTATAGTCAGGGGCCTCTACAAATTATTGAGGACCCAAGATGTCAGTTTGAGAACTCAGGTGCACCTGATTCAGGTCATGATCTTTTCAGTCACTTGCTATACATCTGAAAGCTGAACAATGAATAATGATGACAAAAGAATTGATGTCTTTGAACTGTGTTGGAGAAGAGTATTGAATAACCCATGACTGCCAAAAGAACAAAGATAAAATATCTTAGAGAAGGTGCAACCCGAGTGTTCCTTGGAGGCAAAGATGATAAAGCTTCAACTCACGTGTTTGGGGCATCCTGCTAGGAGAGGCTATTCCTTTGAAAAGGGTTATCATGCTTGGAGAGGTGGAGGGAGGGCAGAAGAAAGGAAGATATTCAACCAGGTAGATTAACACAGTGACTACAACAATGGGCTTGAGTGTGTCAGAGATGGTGAGGATAGGATCGTTTCAGATCTTTTATTCGTAGGGTCATGATGAGTCATACTTGACAGCATCTAACAACAACTATGTGTGTCAGTGTTCTTGTGGAGCTGGGGACACTGTGGAGATCAAAAGCTTCCTTCTTTTTTGAAGTGAGAAAGGAAAAAACAGTACTAAAAATTAAAATAATACCGAACTCAATCCACTGCCATGAGTCACCTTGAGTCTTGCTGACCTTCCATAGGTCTATGAGGTTGTAAATTTTTATTGGAGAAGACTGCTTATCCTTCTCCATTGGAGTGCATGGTTAATTTGAATCCTGAACAATCCTGAAGTCATGCAGTTCTAGTCCACCAGCTGCTCCATATGAGAAAGATGGGCAATCTCCTTCATGTGATTAA